CACACAAACACACACACACACACACACACACACACACACACACACACACACTCACACACTCACTCACTCACTCAAAAACCACGACACAAACAACAGTCTGCACTCCCTGACGGTCATTGAGCAAGTAGGGCAAAACCATGAAAATGCATGACCACAAACAGGTCACAATGGGTTTACATAAGTAGGCCCCACAAAATGCTTATCCGCAGACCCGGCTTGTATTTTTGGAGTACCGTAACGTTTTATCTGCCAACATGATTATGTTTCAGAAGCTTTACATGAACTTACCCTATACAATAATGTTTATCAGTCAACATGACTATGTTTTCGAAGTATATTGAAACACATATTCGTTTATGTATGTCTTGTGTTTTCAAAGTACAGTACATGTACATGTACATGTACATGTACATGTACATGTATTACATATAACGCTCAAGTCCGATAAAAGAACCCCGCTCTGAGCTCTTTACAATAAATAGTCAAATGCTATAGCAACCCACAAACAACACTTTGTGTTCCGACCAAAAACTCACACATCACCTGTATGTATACGAAAACAGAAATATGCCCCTCGATGGGACGTGAAAACACTTACATTTATTATTTTCTTTTGATCATCATCAAATACCAGACATCAGCGATCATGGTTTTCCATTTCTTCCTGTGCTGGAATGCTGTTAAAAAAAAAAAAAAAAAAAGGGAAAAAAAGGGCCACATCATCTTGATTTGTCCCCGGCCCTCACCCGTCTAAGTTCTCCAAGTAGGTTGCTCTACTAAGTCTACCCCTGCTTCGTTTGCCTTCAATTTTGCCAGTGAGAGCGACATGTAGATGTTCAAAGCCTTTATCATACTTTATGGTTTTATGGTTGGCGCTCATATGACCGTATGCAGTTACAGGCACCGTAAAATCTTACTAAAACTAACTAAATATTTTATGGTTATTCAAGTGTCCCCTGAAACTGCCTAATTTATTGTCTTTTCCTGATTGCTTTTATCTGAATATTCTTACATCTTCCTCTTTCCAGCCCCCAGCCCCGGCAGTGTGAGGAGAGAGGAGCAAGTCCTCGCAGACACAAGAGCTGACTGACGTTGTCGTGCAGGGGGGAGGGAGAGGTCAGAGGTCAGCCATGGAGTCGCTGGAGGAGTCGGGACAAGGGCCCCAGATAGGGGCCGACCCTTTCCTCACAGACACCTGTGATGTGCGCTCTCTCACGCAGCATGTGAGTAACTTATGGCCTTTGTTCTTTGTTGTGTGCGTGTGTGCGTGTGTGTGTGTGTGTGTGTGTGTGTGTGTGTGTGTGTGTGTGTGTGTGTGTGTGTATGTGTGTAATAATAATATTGCTGTACGTAGTGAATTGGTATCGGGTAAAGGTCGATTTCAACCTCCTAATTCTTAAAGTAACCTAAATCAAAATCGCCTTTCGTGCTTTTTTATGCGGGGGGGAGGGGGTTGTACAAGATGTAATGTAAACTGCCACCGCTGTCTGTGTCGAAGTAGCCTACATGTATGTGCAATGTGAAATCCTCCTTTCTCAGAGGCGAAGGTGACGAACAGGTGGAGGGGACGCAACTCATGAATATATGACGTGCACTTAGGTTGTCCGACTTGAGAAGAGTTGTTGCCCTTGATGTACAAATGAGAATTCAAGATAGCTGGCTGGTGTTGTAAATCTACGACAGGGAAATAAGTCGTGTGTAGATATCTACGGTACTTCTTGCTGAAAGATGTCAACATACTTAAAAGTTTGGGGATATGACTGAAATTATTGTACAGGTAAAAACAAAGAGTAGATTGTTTTTTATAGGTGTAGTCATCAGTTGTAAAACATTCCTGGATCTCATTTGTAATAGATCTAACAGCTTAGTATTAATTAGTAATAATAGAGTACTATTGTAATTGTGATCATGTGCCTTTAAGAACAGGAACAGTTAATTCTTCTGTCTATATCTTTCACGAACATGTAACAAAAGTGTACTTTCCTTTATTCAGCGTCATCAGTTTTCTGTGGCTCTCTTTGTATGGTGAAATAACGACATTTCTCTCGGTAAAGATCTAGGCCTACTTATATTTCTCTGCAATGAAAGTTTTTCCCTGAGTTCAGTGCAGTGACATTTTCTCTAGGTTCGTTTATTTTAAAAAAATAAATTACACTGACGCTGACAATTTTTGCTTGGTTTTTTTTTGTTGTTGTGACATTTCTCTCTGATTTTGATGGACACATTTCTCTCATTTTCTCTCTGATTTGGTGGGAAATTATTCTCTGATTTCTCTGGAATAAGAGATATCTTATTTTTGCTATCACATCTTTTTTCTTTCTTTTTTTCCCCCTCTGTTTACATTTCGGTCTGCAGTATCATCTTTCTCTAATTTCTCAGGAAAGACACATCTTTATATTTCTTTTTCAGAAAAGATGTTAGTTTATATTTAATGGTAAACACATGTTTTTTCTGATACCGGTTTTTCTGAATCTATACTCAAAACTTGTCCATGATGATACTAATGACTTTTTTGGATAATTTTTCAGGAGAACTACCCTGCAGTTATAGTTCTTCCCCAACCCAGTGACTTTGTTGAACTGCTCAGTGAAAGAGTTCACGTTCTTGATTCCGATTCATTGGAGCTTGTTATGCACAATAAATCTTCTTCAGGATTCCGTCCCGTAGACATTTCACCGATGGACACTCATAAATTGTTCCCAGACTCTGGTGCTGAAAGTGACGATTCTGGGATACATAGTTTTTCTGATGTTAACTTTTTCACAAGACGGAGAAGTTTCTTCGATGAGGATGATGTGTTAGAAAATAATGTGTACTTGGATTTTAATGAATTGACTGTGCCAAAAGATATGGATGGGGATAGAGATGAACTAAGAAGTGACGATGAAGACAATAGTGATGATGATTCACATTCATCATCTGGTAGCAGTGACGACAGCAGCAGTGGCAGTAGTAGTGATGAAATGGATGATGATGAGGAGGAAGAACATGAGGAAGGTAAGAGTGGCATACTGATATATTTTGTTTCTTTTTTTTTCACAGTTTCATTGTTTATTTTTTCTTATTTTAAAAATATTTTTAAAAATTT